GGCAGTGGAGCGCAAGAAACATTTTAATTGGTCGATAAGACACTTGCATTCCTGCGACAGGACTTAATTAAAAAGCGTTAATTAAAACGCGCGGATAAAAACGCCAAACAAGTTATTATAAAAGTCGCTAAATAGAGGGACGTCGTTAAAAAACTCATCGGTTAACTTTCCGGGCACGTACGTCGATTCCTGCTTTAAAACGGGCGCGAAAGAGAAAGAGGGAGAGGGAAAAACTTTATATACTTGATTAGTAGCGTTAAATTGGGGCCCGGCAAACTTAATTAAATTTTATATAATGAACTAACGGAGGAAATGCCGAACAAAAATAATTAAAAACCCAAATTCGCCCCGCGCACGGCAACGGACGGTTAAGTGACAAAGTTAATTAACAGGGTTATTCTTTGGACACATTCGGCTCTTATCGTCGCGGCGTATCGTCCACCATTTTTTTCCGTCTTATTAATAACATCGAAGGTATAACAGGGGGCAATGTAGACGACTACGAATATTTGCAACACAGATTACAGGTTACATTCGAGACAGTTATCGCTTAGCCTGTGCGACTTCCTCCATCTTTAACATCGATATTCGATCCTTGGTGTAACTCGCAGGTATCGTAGGGATAGAGAGATAACACTGTACGAAAGATTTATTGCAGAATGATGAACAATATATTCATAACGAAGAGATTTTAGGTCAGCGAGGTTTCCAGCTGGAAGATGCTGATCATGCATCATAGTTTATCTTATTCATCGCAGTGGACAGGTCTGGAAAAGGCGTAGCCATGCAATGCTGACAATGGAAATTACTACAGAATGATTAACGAACATGACAGGAAGTGAAATTAACTCCAACTAAATAGTAAATATTTTTTAGGTCTGGATTTTCCAAATAACCTCTTTGCATGTATGTATGTGTTCTTACATTTCTCATAAGATTCTTCTTCTGTATTAATCTATCAATTTGACAATTGGGTCTTATTTGTTATTTTGACGGAATTGGTCATAAGGTCCCCAGGGGTATGAAGGCCCACCATAAGCAAAAATGTTGCAAAAAATATTTATTTAAATTAAAACATTAAACTGGTAATTTTATTTAAAACAGTTCTCTTGTAAGAACACATAGAAAAATAAAATTTAACAAAATATGAAACAGTTTTTCTTTAAAAAAAAACTTAAACGCAAACTCGTTATTGGGCCTCATTTCCAACCATAGAGGATAATAAGGCCTCCTTTATTTCTGTAACGGTCACTAAGCAAATAAACTACTCATTGCACTGCAGACATGTAACAGTTTTCGGATTAACTTCAGTCAATCGTCATGCATCCAAGAATTCCAATGGGTACATCCCTGTCGCTTTGAATGCATGTGTAAAATTTTGGATGCTCATACATCTCCCTCAAACTGGCGTAAAAATTTCAGAAAATCTTTTTTGTTCATTTTCCTATCTGGGAATTTGCCCCACTAACGCAACAACTCCTCATCCCAAAAAGTTTCGAAATTACGGAACACGCTTTTGTCGAATAGTTGGGGTGTAAGTGAATTCCCAGTTGGTCGCAGCATCAACAACGTGGAGATGTGACGCTGTACCCTGAAATATTAAAAGGACTGGCGGCTAAATAAACTTGCAAACATGAATGAGCCGTTCAATATATCAGGTGGTCATCCTACCTTCTGGAGACATCTTCACTTGAGATCCTGGTGGTAATCCATCACTAAAAGTTGGTTTCAGCCTCTGCCCATTAAACAATATCATGGGTGGGATACCATGCCTTTGCACAGGCAACAATTTTTAGCGTCTTCTGGAGAAACCAAGTGGATTCGCTTGTCCCTTTTTTGGCAATGACTATCTGTTGATGCGGGGTTAGTCTGCATCCATGTTATATGTTGTATACCTTTACCGATGTTGGAAGCCATATTTTTCGAGAACATTATCAAGTTAACAATGAAGGGATTAAGCTTTGCCGCCCTAGCAGGATTCATCGACTGGGCCTTTCGTTGAGATACATCCAGTCACATTCAGACATTCAGCAAGTTTTTTCTCAATGTTGAAACGGCCAGAAATGTCAACATACTTAAATACACTTCGTAGTAGTGACATTGATGTCAAGGGAAATCCTATGTTAGAAAATTTAATGATTTTCTTGTTTCTTTGTTCTTGTACTTCATTCAAGGTAGGCCTTGCCCCCAGAATTCTTTTTACAGCTCCGGCTTCCAAATGGTTTCTAAAAACGCCCCTGCTCAACCATAATTTTTTATAATTTCGACCAGATAATGCACACGGCAAAACACTCAATGCTATCTGTCAAAAACTACCGAACTTAATCGAGTATGCTTCACTGTTCCCAAGTATATTATAATAAGAAATAATCTTCAGGGAGCTCTACTAACACTATCTACAATGACAGAACACAAACTCTATAAGTCCACAATTTTACTCGTTTATTTAATTACACGTACGTTTTTATTTATGTTTTACGATTATAGATGTAGATAATAGTTTGTAATTGAATCGACGTGGACGCTTAATTTGAGCTTAATGAGTTAATATACAAAAGCGTTCGCTGCAATTCAAATTTCCCTTAATGAAATTATCCAATTAATATACGAAGCCCGACGTAATATGGCTTGGTAACTGTATGGGTTTACTTTGGGGCTTGTGTATTGTACTCTGCCTTTTTAAAATGTCCTGGACGTCGGCAATTATAGTATCAAGTTACTAATTACCTTAATGGGATCGTGTAAATAATACAAGGGTTCGTAATGGCGAAGGCCCGAACTAATTCTCACTTCGATGTAAATGGCATATCATCTGCTAGACGGTCTGGCCTACGTCGCGCCGCAGGGCCGGAATCAAATCATTTTAAATCGACAAACTAGTTTGAAATATGAACAGAATTGCAGTATTTCTCGGTAACCTTGCTTTTTCTACACCTATAAAAATACTTTTTTCAGATGAAGACAGGCTACAAAGTCATACGTGAACGTGCAGCCTGAAAGGCCAGTAAATTAAAAGGGTTAATAGGGTAGAAATTTGGAAGATTTTCTTTTATTTAACTATTCAATGATATTAAAAAATATTGAAAACATAAAACACTACAATTTATTTCTTCCTTTAGCTGAAAAAAATAATCGTCCTTGGCTTTTTCAAGAAGAAATTAATATTAAACTAACCAAAGTTGGCAGTATGCATGGTGTCCAGTTGATCCAGACAGTCATGTACAGATGGCTTTCAACGATTTTTTTTACATTGGAAAAAATTAATTAAATTGAAAAAAAAAGTTTTATGCCTTTTTAAAAGGGTTTTCTAAGCACGGTCCTGCATACCAAACAAGTTTGCCCAACCTCTGACTTATTTGTTTACCTACGCCATTATATATATATAACGGGGTTATATTAACAGAAAAAAGTTTAATTCAAACAAATACCCGTTGAATCTAACTAACAGCCGAAGTAACATATACACAATTTTTGTTCTCCGACAGTGTACGCAAGCAGAATTAATTTCTGTTTAGGTCATAAATCTATCTTAAGGGGTGTGTGGTTTGTGTTTGTGATCCGTTCGAGGAAGTTCGGGCGCGTAAAAGCAAAACGAATTCGTTTTTGGAGCACGGTGTCGAATCGATGTGAATTTCGTAATACCAAGACGTCAACCAGTAAGATTTTTTTTTATACTGAGAGAAGGAGGATGGTAATCAAAGTTTGATTAGTTATAATAGCATATTTGGGATCCGCTGTACACTTATTTTAAAAAAGGTCGAAGTCCGGTCCTGGAAACCAGCTACTCTCTGTATCTCACAAGCTCGAACAATGTCTATTGGAAGAAAATCGATTTATCGATTGAGAAGATATCGCATAATTTAACAACGTAAGAACCGGGAAAGTATCAACTAATAAAAAACGGATATTGTTTGCCAAAAATAAGAAATTTTAATAAGAAAAATTATTACACATAGCGATAAAAGTTCTACTAAATTGTCAATAAACAACATTTCTATAATAATATTGCCGACTGCTTAAGTATAGGTATTTTAAACAGGGTTTTTGATTATAATTGTTGTAATAGAATTTAAACGAACTGATCTCTATGAGACAACTAACTCAGCAGAAATTTTGCTATTTGCCGTAGTCAGACGACCAGCAATCTCTTGTCTGGGGAATCCCAGCTCTGGCGATAGGCTAAGTGATGAGACTTGAGTGCCTCGAGTGCCGTTAGCAGAAATAAGCGGCAATTCTACGAGAGCATTATATTTCAACCTGACCTGTAATCAATTCATTCTCTCCGAGATATATGTACATGGCAGCTCAAATAAGGCTGGGCGTGAGTAAAAGGGATGCCTAAGTTCTCGGTCCCATCATTGTCTCGGGGAGATTTGATATCCTATAATCTAAAGCACAGATTTTTCACTCGGTTGCTACTCATCGGGAACACAGTTAAAATCTTACAATATATATAGAATGTCTGCATTCAGATTTCGAACCCGGTAAACAAAGAATTCGGAGTTATTACAACATATTTTAGTGCAAGAGCAACTTTTATTGCCTCAAGTAGATGTGAATGAAATTTCCCATCATCTCCCACCAACAGACCGTTTACCCCATGTGTGGGTCTGATTCAAATTAGAAAACTTACGCACCACCCTGTATATTCGGGGACGATTACGCGCAAAACTAGTTTATTAAATGCCAACGTACACACCTCTTACAGTGGTTAATTAGGTACAACGGGTAGAACTAAACACACATTTAGATTAAAAGCGGCTTTGTGCGCGATACACACGGACGTATACGTGTGTGCGTATATGCATATAACGTTAAATAAACCGTATATGGCGGAACGAGAACCGAGAGCGATGGAGGAAACCGCTCGGGTCCTCTCAACTCGGCAAAATGCGGCCTTTGAACGGATAAACGCGGCCTAATGTAAGCGAGCAGCCGCGTTTACTAATAAAACATATCGGTAATTAAGCGTTGCTAATTTGGTAATAAGCACCGCATACACAGAATTCAATTAACGTCGGTAGCCGGGACTGCGGTGTCCGCTCAACCGACGTGCTCGGATGAATCGGTCGGTACATACGCTTCGTCGTTCAACCCCAGAGACGATCCGTGGCGTTTTGGGAAAACCCTCAATTCATTCCGCTTCGTCTTTGTAACCTCCTAAGGTTTCAGGAAGTTCTGGTTGCCCTTACTGGATCAGTTTTTAAGGGTTTGCTTGTCGAACTGATTTGGTAGGCATCCAGGAGCTGAAAAGATACCTCAGCGACAAGAGAAAATGACGGGATAAATAAAATAATTGTAATGCGTACAGCGATCACTGCAAAGTAAAAGATAAACGTGTCATACCTCTAAGTCTGATCAAGGCAGAAAATAAACTTCAAAGCTTTTATAATCGTCAAGACCGCGATGAATCGGAATAATATCTTGTCAAGCAGCGTATTAACGATGCACGGAATTTTGGTGAATCCCCCAATCGCTAACATCATTCTACTACGCCCCTTGGCTAATCAGTTGGTAAGGGGCTGCTTGTTGAAGTTTAATACCTCAAAAATACAAGAACTAGGCCGGCTAAACTGGATAATTTTAGTGTCATGATTGGTGACTATGAATAAGGACCAAATTTACTTGGCTCTAAAAGGTATCGCCGCGGAAGACCATCCGTCCAAGGCAGACAATAAATCTTCGTTAAAAAAAAACTATTGGAAAGGCCTAACAGCACAAAATGGCGATTCTGGTCTGTTCTGAACAATGATGAACACTAATAATGTGACCAGGAAATGAAACATGCAGTCACCAAAATTAAGGACATATAAAATTTCATAAGTAATAGAGTGAAATGTTATCTAAGTAATAAAAGGCTTCGAATCGAGCACTATCTTATTTGTTAATTTGGGAAAACAGTGTTTATGGATTTTAATATTAACATTCTGTAAAAATATAACTTCGTCATTTGGCTAATAATGCCAGTCATTTGAGAAACAATGGCGGTGAAATTAAAAACGATAATATATATTTTGACGTCTTTCTTATCTTAATGTATATGTATAACGGAATATTATTACTAACGAAATATAATAATCTGACCATGTTCTGAAATGCGTTGCCTAATAAAAGGGTGATAGAAAGTGTATGGCTAGCAAAAGTTTGAAAAAATGTAATTGGTTGAAAAAAAATTTAAAGTATGTCTGCTGAGGTCACAATAAAAATCATGACGTTTAAAAGAGAAGGAAGGATAAAAGCAAAAATCTTAACAAGAGTATTTGTTTCCTATGTTCAATGGCATAAATCAACAGTTTTTTTTCTGGAACCCCTTTTTTTAGATTTTTCTCCTAAGGTTCGGTATTGGCAAGGCGCCTTTTGAGCACGACAGTTGCCGGTGATGGCGTAGTAGTAATCGAAATTCCATCGTAATTGGCTGGTCGATGAATATTAGGGAAAATGCTTTACGGACATCATGCGCGAGTATTATTTAACCCAACAGAAACGTTGATGCCTACTAGCTGGAAGTCCATCGCAATCGCAAGTGCAAATGTAAACAAATATGACTAAACCTTCCAATAATTATCATAGACAAAAAAAATTGAAAGAAAAATGAAACAATAAATAAATAAAATTTTAAAATTGTTTCAAAACCAGGTGAAAACGTCTTATTTTGTATTGCAGTCAATACCTGGTAGCAATGGGAATTATTTTCTCTATACATCTTATATACACGTTAATATGAATGGCAGATCTGTTTTTTTAAGGGATAAATAGTTTTTCAAATAATTTGAATCAAGTATCCTTCTATAAATTAAATGTTTGAGAAGTTTCTGACGGTAGAAATCTTGTGGAGAATACCTACTACTAGTTTTACACTGCCGTAAATTAAAGGGCAGGGTAATTGGATTTTCAGTGGCACCGGTTGAAAGCTTCAGCAACTGCATTTTTCGTTGTGACGTCGGGAAAGTGTTTAGTGCGCAAGAGGAAATTTCGATTCACACTGTCGTTACGGATCACGAACACGTTCGTTCCGTGGATATTAATTAACTATTGTGCGCGATCTCCGATAACGGAAATTAGTCGCTAATAAACCGGATGTCGCGCGATTATTTAAAAAACGCAACATTGTAGGACGAACCCGGGTTTATCTGTCATATTGTAAGCGCTGGTAAACAAATGCGGACGCAAAAAAAATGATCCCATTGAAACGTAAATTCAGCGCGTCCGCTTCATTACACAACGCTAATTAATAACATATACGTAATAAATTGTGTTAATTAGCGTGGCACACTATAAATACGCTAAGCTTGGATTAATTGGAGTGTGTGGATCCACGACGGGCGTGCGGAAGCAAGGCGCGCGCGTTCACACGATTTGATCGTTGGTAAAAACATTTAAGTTTACGTCCATTTTGCTCCGAGTAAATGCTGAACCGACCACTCAGTTGTAATTCGCCGATTTAAAGGAAAAAAAAGTTTTTTTGACGCACCTTTTACCCATATGCTGAGAATATGAACAATTCAGCTCTTATAATATGTAAAATATTGTGGTTTTTCAGAAATAGACATTTTCCTTTTTCACCCTGTATCGACCTAAGGGTGTCGATTTAAAATAAAAAAAGCTAGATTATTTTTTAACATGTACATACGCTACTTGTCCCCGATTTAAGCGACGCTGTATCTCTTACAATTTCCAATATCCCCGCATCTTATATTGGACCCTATTTACATGTCTACTAAAAACCAACAGAAGGCTTGAAACGAATATGCAGACAAAAACTGCGTTTCATGAGATTCGATCGCGATTTGAATCACATTATATTTAATATTTAACAAAGTTGCAGGTACAATATTTGTAGTAAAACCGTGTTGACCATCGTTTTCAGTGACGATGAAATACGGGCGGATGACACGGGTGAACTCGCGTCGTCGCATCACGAACGACAATTATAATAATTTCAATCTCAGAGGTCAGGCGCGATAACTGACTTTTTTTTGTATTTAATTAATGAAGTTAGTATTTCTCTCATTTCGGAGATAGCTATCCGGCTCGCCAGTAATTTAATATTGGCTTAATTAAAATACGTATTTGTCATCGACTTGAAATACGACCGTCGGCGTACAAAATTTTAATTGAGTTAATACGGACCGGCGATTTGTCACACGCCTCCTGATCTATCATGGCGGTACATTATGTTTTTCGCGTTGCCGAACCAATCGTGACTATAACGTGCCGTCGCATTCAGCAGATTTCAGCCGGTTCTGCTGATTTTTTAGTGGATCTACAGATTTCAAGATTGATCTGCCTTATCTACTGAACAATTTCATAGTTTAATGAAGATATTATGGCGTGTTTTATGTGTATGTAAGTAAGTTATTTCTTTTTCATTTTTGATATTTATTTTTACTCTCATTTGTCCCGTTACAGATTGATTTTCGCTTTTTCTAAAGGGCAAATCATCAACAAATAAATTTAAAACAGTGGCGAGCCCTAAAACACCGACATTTAGGCCTTAAGCGCATACCCAGTCACCGATAGAGCAATACTGGAGGTTTTTTTAACTGGTGAAATAAATAGAATCGCGACCAGACATTAAACTTCGACATGATTGCGGAATTACTAAATAATTAAACTTATTTCATTTTGTTAAAAGCAAAAACAATTTACGGTGCCGAAAGAAAAAGTAGCTGCAGTTTATTTTGTAATTAAGATTGATAAAACTAAGGGTGTTTAAATTTGTTCCTTAGTAATAGATTAGTCCATTTAAAATTTTTGATATTAGCAATGTTTCTACCTCCGTGTGATTAGTAATGTCCTTGCTCAAAATTAATCGCAAACCCTTTGTCGTGTTAGTAAGGAAAATAACAAGAACCCTTAATCTTTTTTTATTTCATATACAGTGAACTCTGGTTATAAAGTACTCTCTAGGGACCAGAAAATGAGTAGCGGAAGTACGCTAAAGAAACACAAAAAAAATTACGTAGGTACGTACACATTTTCATATTACATAAAACATAGGTATTAAAAAACGAAAGAAAGTAAACTAGCTAAACTAAAAACTTATCTATCTATATAAACTTTACAACAGACAAGCAAAATACATACTTTATTATATTTGAGTAAAAGAAATCGTTATTTTTGTTCGTTTATTTTTTCTCAGTACAAATTGCATATTCTCGATGTGCTTCTCAACCTTCTAGAACGCTCGCATAATATCATCAGATACATTATAAGTAGATTATATTGCGCAACCAATTACTCTCAGTCATTGTGGTCAATATTTTTGTACTTCTCGAACCACCGAACCAGAGATAAGTCATCATCTGAATCAAACTCCTCCTTCCGATTTTATCAGACCTGCATGTCGAAAGCAGTTTAAAATAGTGGTTGAAGTAACATAATTCCAATATTGTGCAATTAATTTTTTGGAGTCTAGGATAGTGATGTTGAAACGATACAAAAAATATTTGCGGTAAAATGTCTTAAGGCACTTTATGATGCCCTGATCCATTGGACGACTGAGGTGCTACTTGGAGGCAAATTTGCTGAACTCATCCACGCTCGCTGGTTTAACTTATAAATGAAAGGTAGATTTTTCACATTTTTCATGCATCTCGGTCGTTCATATTTACCAATAACAAGAAGTTTGCATTTTTCGCTTCCTGTCATATTTGCACAAACCCAAAAGGTGTACATCAACTTCGACTGCTTCCCACCCAAACACTTTTCTCCTCTAAATTTACGGGTACTATCTGGAGTCGTCTTGTAAAATATCCCAGTCTCGTCACCATTGAAAATATCTGAGAGCTGTAATTTTGTGCAATACTGGGCCACTTATCCTGTAACCAGCTTGTTTGTTAACATCTCCTGCTTCGCCACAAATTTTTCCGGCGTTTATGTTGTGACGAACTTTAACACGTTCGAGCCAACCTGTAGAACAACTAAAATCCTCACCATGTAATCTGTTGGCTGATTCTTCGGCCTTCGATTTCAGAACTGGACCAGTTATTGCAATAGAGCTTTATCTACATCTGAACGTACAGAATTTCTAGTCACTTGCTTTCTTGATCTTTTCGCGATTACTCCAAATTATAGATATTGTTGTTTTTGCCAATTTCTTTTGTCTAGCAATTTCCGCTTTACCGATACTTCTAAGAGCCTCTATCTTTTCTTTTACAGTAAGACTTGCGCCCATGCGCCATTTTAACCTAACCAAAATATGAAAAAAACGCAGTTTTCTTTCTTGAAATAAAATATTTTTGCG